GCGGAAAGAAGGAGAAGGGGATGGATCGATGATGGGGTAGAATGAAGGGGAAGGGTCAATTTCGTTCAGGGCGGCAGTGCAGAGGTGATGGCGATTGTGTTTCACCGGAGCGGAGGGCGGCGGCGGTGGTCGACGGCTGGTGGAAAGATGGGGAAGCAGATGTATCGACGATGGGGAAAAATGAAGAGGAAGGGTTCAGGGGCAAATTTGTCCGTGCAGTCAGTTTAGGGCGATAATTTCAAATTTTTAGGGCGTTAAATAGAAGTTCAGTATATTAGTGGTGATAATTAATCAAAGTGGGTTGTTAGAGGGTAATAACATGCATAATCATTATCTTACGAAAAGTGCGAGCACAACTAAAGTGATGGAATTTAATGGAATTTATGGGTGGATTTAGGGTAAATCTTTTGTATACAATAGTGGGGTAGAAGTTATTTATGTATGCGTTGGGAGTTCAATGAAGTATTTTTAGTTTTAGGAATAATTATACCTTGAATACATGAGACTGGTTCTTAATTATGACAAGTATAATAATTTTTAGTTGTTCTAAATCATCCGTATATGACTTCTTGAAGGAAAAGGGCAAGTTGCAGAATCTTCTAGAGGCAAGAGTATATCGGAGTAGCAAGTGTATAGTGAGTAAATTCTAACCTAGTATCTTAATTAATACAAGCATGGTATTTGGGTCATGAAGCGGCCCAAACTCGAGGTAGTGAATTTAATTATAGTAAAGTGCGGTTGCATGTGTGTTTAAGTATGTGTTAATGATTATGTGATATGATGATGATAACGTGGTGTGATTTCAATGTGGAGAATGATAAGAATTTTGTTGAGATGAGTATAACGAGGCATGAAAGGCCTTCGTGATGATGATAACGATGATGATGAAGTCAATGATGTTATTGATAATAGTGATGCATATGATGTGGATGATTGTTATGGATTTGATATGAGATGATATGAACGTGTGTTTCTTTGTATGTGTGTGTTAACGGTTAGTCATGCACCCGGAGAATAAGATGATGTGATATGTCCTCAGTAAGGACGTTGTGTATATATATTCGGCTATGTGCCGATTGCCCGGGCTATGGGAGGAAGTCACCGATGCTTTAGGTCGGCGGAGGTGGTGGAGCCTAAGCATCAAGGAGGAGGCGGAGGAGGAGGAGAAAGTGGGAAAGAAGATGATGGTGCATGACTTGGCCGGAATGGGTGATAGATGCTTGTATGTGCATATGCTTGTTGTGAATCATTTTATGTGTGTGTTGTGATGAAGATATTTAAATGGGTATGATCCTATTAATGAATTTGTGCAGGTTCTAAATGTGTCTATGTGTGAGTGGGGAATTTTTATAGAGGTACTAGTATAACGAGAGAAAGAAGGGTATATTGTTAACCGTGATTGCTCAATACCTTGTTTATGTTAATTACGCTACTAGGTTAGTTTTTACTCATTGAGGTGACATCTCACCCCGTCAAAATTTTTCCCCCAGATTAGAAGTTTCAGACTAGAATTCAAAAAAACTCAGCAAGGCTCATCTCGGCATCAATGAGGTGGGATGGTGGACTCAGACTCCGACATGACTTATTTATAGTATTTTGAGAGAAGATGGTCTTCTCTACTGCCATGTGTTTAGAAGTTTTAAATATTTATGTAAATTATGGTTTGGTTTATAAGCTAAACAGAGTTGTAAAAGTTTTTAATCGGTACGATCATGTTAATGTTTTAAAAATATGTATGGGTGTTACATTAACATTAAAATAAGTTACTCAATACTCATAATCATCACCTTAGGGATATGTCAATTAGCTTGACTCTCCTCTCCAATTCTAATTGACATATCCCTAAGGTGATGATTATGAGTATTGAGTAACTTATTTTAATGTTAATGTAACACCCATACATATTTTTAAAACATTAACATGATCGTACCGATTAAAAACTTTTACAACTCTGTTTAGCTTATAAACCAAACCATAATTTACATAAATATTTAAAACTTCTAAACACATGGCAGTAGAGAAGACCATCTTCTCTCAAAATACTATAAATAAGTCATGTCGGAGTCTGAGTCCACCATCCCACCTCATTGATGCCGAGATGAGCCTTGCTGAGTTTTTTTGAATTCTAGTCTGAAACTTCTAATCTGGGGGAAAAATTTTGACCCAGATTAGAAGTTTCAGACTAGAATTCAAAAAAACTCAGCAAGGCTCATCTCGGCATCAATGAGGTGGGATGGTGGACTCAGACTCCGACATGACTTATTTATAGTATTTTGAGAGAAGATGGTCTTCTCTACTGCCATGTGTTTAGAAGTTTTAAATATTTATGTAAATTATGGTTTGGTTTATAAGCTAAACAGAGTTGTAAAAGTTTTTAATCGGTACGATCATGTTAATGTTTTAAAAATATGTATGGGTGTTACATTAACATTAAAATAAGTTACTCAATACTCATAATCATCACCTTAGGGATATGTCAATTAGAATTGGAGAGGAGAGTTGAGCTTGAACTTGAGCGGAGCTGTCGGGTGACTGCTGCTGGCTGTTGAGGGGTACGGCGACAATGAGTCTTGACTGCTGGTATCTGCTACTGGCTGCCGAGGGCTACAGTGACGGTCGCGATGGTGCTGACTGCTGTTTGCTGGTTGACAGTCGGGGAGAGCTTGAATTGAAGAGTTGAAATTGAATGGAGGCGCAACAATCGAACCAGGAGCTGTTGAATGGAGGCGTAACAACTTCAGGCTTGGAGTGCGGCGGCGGCGAGGTTTCCCCTTCGTCCACGGCGGTGGTTACAAGCTGCGTGGTGACAACACCTCTTTTGGTGACGGCTATCGCAAGGAGAGGGAGAGCTTAGAGGTCGAGGTAGGTCACTGGTGGTCGTGGTCTCCAGTCTCGTGCAGTCGTGCACTAGTCTACTGCTCTTCTGTTGAAATGGCTTAAATTGCCAAATGGGTTGGGTTCTAACTTCTCAACTTCTGGCTGGGCTGGGCTTCAAAAATTAAAAAAGACAATTGGAGATTTGGAGTTGGAGACGTCCAGAGTCCAAACAGGCTTTATCTTTATGCCTACTGCTTTTCTATTTTTAATGGGTACAACGGGTACCCATATTACCCAAACGGGTATTTGCGGGTAACCCGTGGGTACCCATATTAGGAATGTGTAATCCCAAGTCCTATCCGTTAATACTATTACGGGTAATATGGGTACCCGTAACCCTAAACAAACGGGACGAGTATGGGTATACCCATATACCCGTTTCCTGTTGCCCACCCCTATTTTTATTTCTCGAATGGTATTGAAGTTTTGTACAATGGTAGTATTTTTTTAATGGATTTGTATTGATTTATTGTTTTGTTGTTGGAGCGTTATTAGTTGGTTGAACGAAATCAAGGAAAGATTGAGAAAAAGAAGGAAGAGAGATCTGACTGAAAAATTGTGGAAGTGAGAGAGAGAGAGAGAAAAAAAATTGTAGTTAATATATTTATGTAATTTCCTAAAATGTAATTTATTAATAAAGGTAATTAATACATTTTTTGTTATACCCAGTTTGTCCTTAGTAACCACGGTTATTACTATTTATAATTATCACCATAACCTGCCCCATGTAACAGCAGATTGCCTAGATCAGTGGGAGGAACACCAACCAACTCTTTCACCTCAGGAACTCACAACTAGTATCATCAAGTGTTCCAAACAATTTCTCAAAATACTATCTCCATAGGGGCAATGCACAAACAAATGATCAATAGTCGCAATCCCCCTGGGCACAACAGACATAACCCCAACACATTCTTGCCCCAACCAAGCAAACCAATCTATTTTGTAGAGCAAGCCACAACAAGAAAGCATGTATAGGAATAACATCTTTGTTCTAGACTAATCGAAACCAATCCACAACATTTGAAGTGACCCATATCGAAATCCAGACTTTAGAAACAGAATAGCAAGACATCACATCACCATCCAATTTCAAACTAGAACTAGAACATGTAATGAAAGGAGAGACAACAAATATGCATTTTAATATCCTCTTCCAAATTAATGTGCCAATAGAGGTACAAGTCAAGTCCCACTAATTGTGATGCTTGACTTTATACCTTCTCGCCCACACGATCCAAAGAGAGCCTTATCCTGCAAGAATATCCCAAAGGTGGCGAGAGACACAAGCCAGATTCCAGATCCTGAAGTCTCGAATTCCAAGACGCCCTTCCTGCTTAGGACGAGCTAGAAATTTCAAGGCAACAACAGCTCGAGTTCGTGCGCTGGTCTCATCAATACTCAAAATAAAATCATTGCATAATCGTTCAACCTATTTAATAATAAACTGGGGCAGCAGAAAAACATTCATCCAGTACTGCAATATGTTAGAAATCACAGAAGTAACTAATTGTAACTTCCCTGCATAACTAAGAGATTTAGACCTCTAGCTTCGTAGTCTTTGCGTAATCTGGTCAATTAGCACTTGAGAGTCCATTCGAGCAAGTTTTCCAGTTTTAAGCGGAACTCCTAAGTAGCGCACAGGTAGCACACCTAAAGGAAATTAAGAATAAGTAGCAATCCTAACCATTTACTCCTATGAGATTCTAGAGCAAAAGAGCTTACACCTTTTGTATTACATTTCAACCCCGAGAGAAGATATAAATGATCTAATAACCTTCGAATCCCTGCCACACCCTTAGTTGAACCATTAGTAAACACCATTAGATCATCCGCAAAGCACATATGTGTAATACTAAGGGTTTACATCGAGGATGAAAGGGGATTTGATCTTCCCTGGTTGCAGTCTTCATTAAACAATCAAAACCCTCCATTGCCACCGTAAACTTGTACGAGGACAAGGGATCCCCTTGTCGTAAACCCTTCTTAGCATCAAACCGCCCACAAATTTCACCATTCAAAGTGACACTGATTACTGGATACAAATACAAGCTTTAAGCAACTTAAGAAAATGAACTGGGAACCCTATAACCTCAAGAACAGAAAAAAGAAACCACAATGAACGAATTTGAAGGCCTTCATTAAGTCTATCTTAACAACACACCTAGAAGATAAAATGGTTATATGATAATCCTTAACTAGCTCGGAGACTAGAAGAATATTTTCCCCAATCGATCGACCCTTCACAAAAGCAGCCTAGGACTTACTAATAATTAAGGGCAACACCTTAGCAACTCTATTAGCAATGAGTTTAGAAATACCTTTGTAGATAGTGTTACAACATGAAATCAGACAAAATCCTGACATTCGAACAACATTTGGTAACTTGGCAACTAGTGTGAACAAGGTAGAATTAATTGTTGACGACATATGACTAGTTGAAAAGAAGCTCAAGATAACATCCTCAACTTCCCTTCCAACTATATCCTAGGCCTCTGAAAAAAATTAGCTGGGAAGCCATCAGGCCCCGGAACTTTATCCTTGCGCATCTGCTTAAAAACATGAAGAATATCCTCAAGTGAGATACCAACCATAAGCATAATTTTATCCTCCTCTGAAATTTTATGCTGCAGAATAAAGCAAAAATACTCAACCAACTGCACTTGGACTTCACTATTCTCAGAACCAATCAAACTTTTATAGAAATCCATTGCTACAACAACCATTTGTTTAATGTCAGTTACCTCCTTACCCTCAGCATCAAGTAACCTTGTGATCTGCTGCTTTTGAGTTTGGATTCTCACCGTCTTATGAAAAAACTCAGAAGTCGAATCTCCATGTTGAACCCTACCTGCCCTAGACTTTTGTCGATAAAAATGTTCCTCAGCATGTCAAAGATTAGCATATTCAACCCCCAACTTTACCTCTTTCTCAACCAACTCAAGAGTAGGATTCTCAAGAACATCCATCTGTACAATTCCAAAGCCAACTCAGATAATTTAGTATGTTCTGAAATGTCTGAATACTCTTCCCTATTTAGCTTGTGCAGGCCAGATTTAACTTTACCAAGCTTGCCATACAAAATATAGTGAGGATAACCTCTAACTTGGAACTGCTAGGATTCCTTAATGATGTGAATGTACGAGGGATGAGATTGCCATAATTGGGAATACTTGAAAGGCTTTGACAAGGTTGCTAGCTTAGACGAAGTGTTTAAAAATAACCCACAGTGGTCAAAGACATCGGGAGGGATAGTGCGTGCTAAACTGTCAGAAAATTTCTCCAACCAAAACCAGGATTCGATCAATTCTCCGAGCAATAGGGTTCCCGCGCTGCTTATTCCACCATGTATACCAGCCCCCAGTAACTTTATGATCTACTAACTCCATTTCTGAATCCATTTTCTAAAATCCTGCATACTCTGAGTAATGTCTCGGGAGCTTGAAGCTTTATGTACATCATCTATGGCATTAAAAACACACAAAATGCTGCCCCTCTTTAAGCCTCAACAACTCTTTGTAAAGAGTAAGTCGATCAGTGTCTTTATTTTGGCTGTACACAAACATCAGAATCTCTTGGACTGTCTCCTGAACTAGAACCTTCAAATAATGTTCTCCTTCCTCAATTCTAGTAACCGTAATACCAGGCCTCCAGAGAAGCCAAACACGCCCTGATTGAGACTTATTATAATTATTCATATGACTCCAATCACCGAAAGCACTATCTTGCTGCTATTAGTTATATTTACCCTAGTTTCAAGTAACCCACCATATCCACCTTAAACCTCCTCACCTGCTAGCAGAGTGCTTATTAGGGGAGTTATATCTCCTGATATTCCCGCTACGGATGCTCATTTAACTTTGTGTTACCCCCTCCCCCTGCCGTTTGGAGGTGAAAGAGGAACCAAACTTCGAACCACAGACCGAGGTTGAGTTAATTGAGCAATAACATCAAGATTTTTGCTTACCGCCAATGCATATGACCCAGACCCTTGAACTGCTTTCGTTTTATTCTTCCTGCTAACACTGTGAATCCATCCTCATCTTGATGAGTTTCAACTTCAACTGGAGGAGTAGCATTTTGCATTAGTACTCCCCCTACAGGTTCAGATCCCTCAGTGTCCACCACAACTTTCCCTTTGTCCACTATAGCCTCAACAGCTTCAGCAACTTCAGGTGCAGCTTGATCCTGACTCTGATTCTGTAATGTTGGCCCATCCTTCAACTCACCAGTAACATGGTTCTTCATTACCCAAACTCTAGCCCCATTCTCAAGAATATCACAATCATGGCCAAAACAAGCACACTAAGAACAAACTTTGGGAAGATGACAATATTCAACATCAATCAACATCTCATTCATCCCATCAGGAGTGATACTCAACTTATCAATCTGCTTATGCATTGCCTTAATTTTAATACAAACCTTGCCACAACTGACTTTAGCACTCTTCCTAGTTTGTAAATCCACCCCCAGAGGCCTGCCTAAAGAACTTGCTATTCGACCAAGCCCTTCCTTAGATGTGAGCTCAGCTGGAATGTTCAATAACTTGACCCACACAGTAATTGCAGTATTATCAATATCTAATGGTCTGATTCCTGGCTCCCACTTACGCAAACACACAAGATTATCCCGAAGGTGCCAAGGGCGACCCTCAAGCACCCACTGACAGATCGCAACATTGGAGAGTTTGAACAAAATCAAACGATTACCTAACCACAAGACCTACACTTCACCATCTCTTCCCCATAGCCATTTTGCCGAGGACCTAATAGTAGAAATCATGCTGGGCACCCAAGGAACTGACCGGCCAAACTAGACCTTTGCTCTTTTTTCGACAACCTCACGCGGGATCCGAAGAGACCCATTCACAAACTCAGGCTCAAAAATACTCTAATCGATTATCAGGAGCAATGCCATACAACGATGTCCATGAAAGACCGTCACCGACGACAGCAACACCATCGGTGATGACCGCCATCGGGGAAAAAACCCAATTTGGTTTGGATTTCAAAGAGAAAAGAAAGAGAGAGAACCAACTTAACTCATGACAAAAATCCTTATTATGCCAAAAACTGATAACTATTTGGACTAGTATTGACCAAATATATTTTCAATTATCAACCTGGGTAGTTCGTTTACCCATTACTTCAGTAAATCACAAATTATCTAGTGATAGGAACGTTGTTTAAAACTAACAAACTACTAAAACGAGGTTAAATTCAAATGAGAAGACTCCACATAGATGAATATCCGCATAGTCTCGTGTTGAGATGAGATTGTGATACTCTAGCGTGATTTGCAAGTTCCATATACCATTAGAAGATCAAATATAGTTAGGACGCCCTATTCGAGTACATCGCCGATTTTGGAAAACGAAGACAGTCCAGGGCAGCAGCGGCGATGTTCGCGGCCCAGTCCAGTTCAGCCACATCCCGGTCCTAGAGCCCAAACCCCACACTTCGCCCTTTCTAACACTCTCTCCCGCCACCGCCACCGCCACCGCCACAGCCACGCCCAGCGCTGCTTGCTGCTCCATTTTGAGACGGCCGTTACGGCGTTACCCCAATCAGGCAAAGCTCAAATGTTAGTCCTCTCACTGAAATCCCGCCTGACTCAGGCCCTAACACAGACCTCCTTCCGGTCTCCGGCAGCCCCATCTGCCACCGTATTCTCCCTCCTCTCCTCGCCCTTCTCCTCCAAGCAGCGGAGCAAAGGCGAAGACGGAGACACTCCCGATGCCGTTTCGCTCTTCAACAGGGACCCGGACAGCCCTCCTCGCCTGTTCGTCGTCCAGCCCCGTCTGCGCCCTGATACTTTCCTCCAAGCCAAGCTCAATGAAGCCCTTTGCCTCGCCAATTCCCTGGAGGAGCAGCGTGAAGGCTACTTCAGAACTGATTTCTTCGATAAAGAACTCCCTCCCCATGTGATCGTCCAGAACCCAATTCTCAGATCCTCCAGCGCTCATGCAGGTTTCTTCAATTGCTCTTCTTCTTTCACTCCTAGAACTAGCTTAAAAATGCTATCTCTTTGTTGATTTGAACATTTTTTTCCGGGGGGTTTGACATTTTGCAGATACTTATTTTGGGTCTGGAACGGTTAAAGATATTAAGATTCATCTAAATGCTTCTGAGACTAAGGCAAGCAGCTTCCTTTTTCTTCACATCTCAATACGATTCGAGTTTCTAACAAAGTAACGAACCGTTTCTGAAATGACTGTATCAGGGGGACGAAGTGGATGCCGTATTTGTGAACTCTATTTTAAGTGGAGTACAACAAAGGAATTTGGAGGTTGGTTCTTACAAAGTTTGCTGGTAGTTCCATTAGAGGTGAATGAATGCGTGACATAGCCTTCAGTGATCACGAATGTTCATGATTGCAGCGTGCTTGGGAGAAGCCTGTGCTAGACCGTGTTGGTCTTATCATAGAGATTTTTAACGCTCACGCCCATACAAGGGAGGCAAAGCTACAGGTGGCTTAAAGCGCAGAGCTTTTCCAAGCTATGCTCATTTGGTCTGGTCTTGTCGGCTTTCCCCCCATTCTTCCTGATGTTTTCAGTTTTTTGTAGGCTGAATTAGCAGCTCTTATGTACATGAAAAGTAGGCTAGTTCGTACGAGAAGTGCCGATGGTCGCTTTACGTTTGGAGCAAGTGGAGAAGCTGAGGTTGTTAGCGCTCGAGGGTCAGTAGTTCCCTCAACTTTTCATTTGCTATGCCTAGGATCCCAGGAAACATGGGGAGTTCTCCATTAACTTACTTGCAGGTGATTTTGTAGATATGTAGTGTAACATTTTAGTTTTATTAGATCGACTTTTACTAGTCCATTGGTGCACAGAAGCTCCATTCATTATGCTATGCAATTGGAGCTCATTATTCAGATTGAGTTCCAATGGAAGACACTATAGAAAAATTAGAAAGATAATTTCTGGTAGTTTTTGTTGTTACGGATGGATAGTTCAGTTATGCTGCTCATGATTTAATATAAGAAAACCAGTGCGCTTCAAAATTTTTTGAGGGAGTATTGTTCCCAAATTTGTTATACGTCATGTCATAGTAACATGAATAAACTCTAGTTCTGGTTACTCGCTTTTTATTCCCCTCTGTTACAAAGTTTTCTATAATGTCACATTATTGTGGAAGGCTTTCAATGATCTTTATTCTTCACAGGTATTAAAATTCGGAAATTGAGCAAGTGCCATTTAGAAGTGTGCTGGGGCTGTATTAGTGTAGACAATCGTAGGAAGATACGCACATTTCATGTTACTAAGAAATGTGCAATTGCTTTTGTTGTTTTCAAACATATTTAGTTCAACAATAATGCGAAAAACTGCTACGTGTTTATAGGAGAGGAAGTGGAGGACAAGGCTTTATGAGTGGCGCAGGAGAAACCGAACTTCATCTTCAACGCAGAAGGTTTGATACTTGCTCTATTATCTTTTCTGTTTATGCGATTCCTAAGTCTGATTGACTGAATGTTAAACTTTGTTTTCAATTTCAAATCATTCAATTGAATAGTGTTCCGTGTTAACATGTGGGAGGAGAGTAGGGGGTGTTTGGTGGGAAAGGGTGGGAAAAAATTAGATGAGAAGGAGTTAACAAGGAAAATAAGTTGGTGTTTCCAAGATCATTGCCAAGTTAATGCTCCTGGGTTGTGGGGCTTTTTTGTCATTTCAAACTGTACTTCTTGGTAGTCATCATCTATGGCTTCAGGAAGGGTTACCTCTGTTTTTGTTGGTGCCACTGAGTAATTGTTTATTCATCCATGCACTTGATTAATTATTTTTTTTCCGGACCTTTGATTACCAGAATATTGGAGCGCCGAAGCCGGTTGCTGTCTCAGATTGAGGAGGTTCGTCGCACTCGAGCTTTGCATCGTGCTGCTCGTAAGAGGCATGGGGCGGTTGGCAATCAACGTTTAACTACTGTTGCTGTTGTAGGGTACACAAACGCTGTATGTAATCAGTATCGGATTAAAACTGAAACTGTCAACTCAAATGAATTTTTCATAAGCATTTTGTTTAAACTCGTAATCTGCTCATTTGGCAGGGGAAGTCTACATTGGTCAGTGCCCTTTCAAACAGTGACCTTTATAGTGATTCTAGGTATTTCTATCCTCTTAAATACTCCACTATGATTGGACTTCATGTTGCTGACAGTTCTTTCATTCTTGTGAGTCTGAATGAAGTTTATGTTCCTTGGTTTCAACTTAAACTTGTGCTTTTTCATATGCTTAGGTTGTTTGCAACACTAGATCCAAGACTAAAAAGCGTGATTCTTCCTTCAGGGTGAGATTTTCTGTGGGTTCTTTAATTGTGAGTCCTTTCCTCAACTTCACCTTCTGCATTCGACAGTACGAATGACTCTACCTGACTGACATTACAAAGCAAAATATGCAGGAGGAAGGTGCTTCTTAGTGATACTGTTGGGTTCATATCTGATCTCCCTATACAGGTAACTAGGACATATATGAATATTAACCTGCATCTTAATTTAGGGATCAAGTTCCTTTTGGATTTATCAACTCATGCTTTCATCTTTCACAGTTGGTTCAAGCTTTTCATGCGACTTTGGAAGAAGTTGTTGAAGCAGACCTCCTTCTGGTAAGTCAACAGCTTTTGGTTTTCTAGTATCTCGAGGGTGACCGTTACTCTCCGACTAAAGGACCTGGTTATGTTTGTTTTTATTTTGCATTTCATTGTCAAGTTCTTGGTACGTAAATGCTGATTTTGAAGTCGTAACATTTGTAGCAAACTATATGACATAGAGCATCAATTAAGATGAATGACTAATAGAAATTAGGAGATATATTCTACTAAAGAAAAGATACGCATCTACTAAGAAGAGGAGCCAAGAAATGAGACTGAAGAGGAAACTCAGTCACCGAGGCTAAAGAAGAAACTGTTGATTACTGAAATCCAGTGATTACTGCAATCAGGTTGACCTGGTTGTTGAAGTGTATGACCGGATTACTGAAGTTGTTAACCCGTATATCGATGGTGTACTACAAGTCTGGATTGGTTATTCATGTTTCCTTCTGATTGCCAGCTTGTGGTGCAAGTTGTCAAATGAAATTTTTCGCCTTGAGAATTGTTATATAGGCATAGTCATGAATATGTAGAGCATCCACGTTTGGTCTACAGACACTTTCTTGCATCTCGTTTGAAATGATTCCAACTTATGTATCTAATGATAGTGTTATCTCTCCAGCATGTAATAGACAGCACAGCTCCTAATCTGGAGGAGCATCGCACTACAGTGTTGCAAGTTCTTCAACAGATTGGAGTGTCTGAAGAGAAGCTTCAGAATATGGTTGAAGTCTGGAACAAGGTAATCACCATCTATGAACTTGTCCTTGACTGGTTTCTCTATGGAAACTATTGAAAATTTGATAACCGAAGCCCATTGTTGGATAAATTCTCTTGACTGTTCAGATCGATTATGAAGATGAGGAATTAGATGCTGGTAGATATCTTGATGAAGGAGAATATGATGATGAGGCTAGCCATTCCTCTGTTGAAGAAGACCCCGGAACCAGTAGTCTAACAAGTGTGGAAGATGGGGAGGGATGTATGGAAGAGGGCTTGAAAATAGAGGAAGATGATCCTCTCTCTGATGGATGGTTGTTGTCGGAAGAAGACCAGGACATGGAGGAAGACAAATGGCTAGAGTCTTTGAATGGCCAAGAACAAAGCCATGCATCAAACGACTTGACCACGGCACAAAAGATTTTGAAAACACAAGCTGAGCAAGGTCCCCATCTGAAGATATCAGCTCTGACAGGAGTGGGCTTGCAAGAATTGTTGGAACTAATTGATGGAAGGCTGAAGACTGAGGATGACAAGTTCAAAAGGCAGAGTGCAGTTGAACCAGGTTTCTATGACCGGAAATGGCGACCTCCCCGAGATGAGGATGCGGACATGGCAGTGTAACAGTACAACGGCCAACAATATACAACAACAGGCGTTTGCTTTGTAAAACCATTTTCGGATCCCGAGCCAAGTGAAGCAATCTGATAGCAAAAAGCTTCAACGATCACAGTTTTCTTCCAGATCACCGTTAGTGATGAATGGATTGACAGGAGTAATAGAAACTTGTATGATATCAGGGGGTGGGAAATATTTGCTATTTTATTGCGGAAGGTACAAATGTGGGGAGGAATGAAATGTGCTGTGTTCAAGTATAATAAGCAATCCAGTCCCACGAATATGGTAGTGATGGTCTGTGATGGTCTGTCATGCTTCTCAGTTTGGTTACATTGAACTGGCTTGTCATGTAAACTAATTTGAGAGGGGATTATTAACAACACAGTTAAGTTGGCAATTTGTATGTACCCATTTGGCACTCTGACCCTATATCTGGAGTCTCAAAACATGCCCTGAATATCATCGGTGATTCCTGAACTCGGTAACTCGAGTTATGGTAGAAGGTTAGGCTGGATCTTATACAGGTTCAGACCTTCATCCTACGCTCTCGCTAGGGTTACGGGCTCATTGGCTTGAAGTTTGCATAGGCCTGCCATACCATGTGCTTGAAAGACGACGATTAATATTGGGGGTTGTGAGGACTTGAACACGTGACCTCATGGACAAATCAGCTTTGATATCATGTCATAAACCAGTTGGTCTCAATAACTCGTAACATCACTTTGGTACCGAGGGGCATCTATAGGGCCAGCCCAAAAGGTGCACTTGTCTTCCCTGCTGCTTTTTTGCCATAATGTCTTCCTTGCTACTTCATCCAATACTTTCGTTTTTTCCTTTAGATAAGGGTAATTGTAAGAAACGCGGATCTAGCGGTGTATGTCTAGGTTCGTGTATGAAGGGTTGAACAATTGATTAGGATTTGGGGAATAGAATTGAGAGATTGGGAATTTGAGAGGGGAAGCTTTAGGGAAAAGAAAGAACTCGGCCTCCTAGGGGAAGGAGAGGCCGACGACTGGGATAGAGAGGGAGAGAGATTTCGGGTCTAGAGGGAGAAAGAGAGAGTCAGCAGGTTTAGTGAATAATTGTTCTGTTATTTTTTAATGAGTAAGACCCCACTAATCACATAATATAATACCCAGCATCGAAAACACCCAAATGTTCCCAAAACCCCCAAACATCCAAAATATCCAAAACAAGATCAAACGACAATCAAATCTAAAAACAACAAGAAGGGCCAAAATTTATGTTTTAACAGTAATATAAGTTCATTTTTTGTGGTTATGTACTACTTATGAGATCCGAACCTAAGACCTTCAAGTTCAACTGTTATTACTACAAGACCAATTCCTTATTCATCCAATACCTTATTGTCAGCCACGGATGCTAGCAAGTAGCAAGGGTAATGCGCCCTAATTGTAATGATGAGCAAACATATGTAATATGGATGCTTCAATGCTTTCAACCGCCAAGATGAGCATCAATTTTGTAGTTTAATTTAGTACTAGGTGGTGATGCCGCGCCTTGTCGTGGGGCGGAGATGGTCTACGGACATGTATTATGTGGCCTGTTAAGGTATTTTGTTAGTATTATTAGCACTTTTGTTAGTAATATTGACTGAGAAGAGATATATGAGGTCAACATCCAATTTTAAAAAATTTGAAAATTTTGGCTAATAAATTATATTTAGCTAAACTCTAGTAGACACGTTGATTATGGGTAGGTATGGGTGATGTATATTATGGGGTTGGAAGTTTGCGCTTGCATATCTAGTTAACCTAAAACTTGAGGCATTTTATCAGAATTATATAGATGAGAAGTTAGGATTTGAGATCTGCGTGTAAATACTATTTACCTAAACCCAAGTCGACCCATTGATTATGTGAAGTGAATGGTGACGTATATACGGGTTTGGAAGTATGTAGATGGGTTTGAGTAGGGTATGAATATTTACTTCCATAATCTAAATGTGTATGAGTTGGGTATGGATACTCATTTATTCGAGGGTGTTTTAATTACATTAAAAAATTAGACTTACTTGTAGAACTTCAAAAGTTTTAGGTACCAAAATGTAATACACAAAAAAATTAGATACTTAAATGTAATGTTCCATCAATATTTTGAGGACTTATATGCCAAAAAATAAATTTATGTTATAAATCTAACGATCTATTAAGTTTAGGTATCGAACTGTAATTTGCATAGTTGAGGCTTAATTCCTTTTATGATGATGTGTTTAAGATGATAACTATTTTCTTTTTTACAGAAAATTGAAAACTATTTATTTGAAATGTGTAGATACCTAGCCTAACATTCCAAGTATAATTGTTGAAAATTCTAGCTTGGGTGAGAAAGAAAAACTCTAAAGAGAAGCGAAATGAATACAAACTGGAACTTGCTTAAAATTTCACGCCTTCAAATCTCATAGTAGAAAATGACGACTTTCTAATAAATAATAACCATATATTTTTATTTTTAATTGGACTCGACATTGAGCTGGAAAAGTTAGTCGTGCATGGTTAAATTACAAATTATCTAGACCGTTGGTAGTCATGTATGGACCCATTCATACTTGTCATTAGAATACATAAAAATAGTATACTAATTAGGGTTAGACGAATAAAGCAAAGAAAGAAATAAAGAAAGGGTTATGGAAGGTTGGTGAAAAATGAAATGAAGAGGAAGTAAATGATGAAAAGTTTTGGTCATTTTTATACTTATAATAACTTTTAAATCATTATTTTTATCAGTGCAGATTTTTTTAAACATTGTTCTATTAAAATGTCATACAAAAACTTCATACATATCAATATCTTAATATCTTAATGTACTCGTACTATAATTTACTAAATATGTTGTCACGTCACCGAATAGAATGTTCTTTTAAAAAATGGTAATTATTAATTCAAATGGATAACATAAATATTTTTTTTAAGTATAAATCCCATGGATGACCAAAATGGTCGAATCTTCTCCTACAGTTGAGTGATACAACATCTTGAATGATACAAACTAAATTTATATTTTTATGTTATGATGGATTGAATTCATGGATTGGTGGATTGGATTCATGGACTCAAGTGAAATCTAAACATTCGACCGATATGTAAATTTAAAAAATTATAGGTACTTAAATCTCATAAAATTTAGATGCCAAACATAATTGCTCAATGATTTTACATAAAAGTAATTTTGAAGTATCTAAATGTAAATGTACATTATAGTGACTAAGTTGTGATTTAATCAAATTTGGGGTATGAAAATGTAAATAGTTTGGCAACAGTAACCAAACTTCACCTTTATATATATATTAAAAAGTAAATTTGAGGTATCTAAATGTAAATGTACATTATAGTGACTAAGTTGTGATTTAATTAAATTTGAGGTATTAAAATGTAAATCGTTTGACAACAGTAACCAAACTTCACCTTTATATATATATTAACTAGGTGGCGATGCCGCGACTTGTCGCGGGGCGAAGATGGCCTACGGACATGTATTATGTGGCCCGTTAAGATATTTTGTTAGTATTATTAGCACTTTTGTTAGTAATATTGACTGAGAAGATATATATGAGGTCAACATCCAATTTAAAAAATCTTGAAAATTTTGGCTAATAAATTATATTTAGCTAAATTCTAGTAGACACATTGATTATGGGTAGGTATGGGTGATGTATATTATGGGGTTGGAAGTTTGCGCTTGCATATCTAGTTAACCTAAAACTTGAGGCATTTTATCAGAATTATATAGATGAGAAGTTAGGATTTGAGATCTGCATGTAAAAAGGAAATCATGATAGAATTTCAACTACCCGAATTGCCATAGAGATGAGATTCAATATTGATCACAATCCTCCTGATATATATTGATTAAAACCACGACTAATAGTAGTCACTACAACAACCACAAGATTCGTGAAAACAAAAAGAGTTTAGCTAGGGGAGAGAGGTGATAGATTTAAGGTCGAGATATGGTTTCATTAACCCAACCCTTGCCCAATTTGTTGTTAGGGCAAGCTTTGTTGTAAGCGGCGATGAGTTGGTGGAGAGTAACTCCCGCATTGCACATATTGGCTAGGGCTCTCTGCTGTACTGCTTCCCATAGTACTCCGACGACATCTCCTCGCATTCTTCCTTGTATATTTCCACCTAGCCACGCACATAGACACATGCTCATCAATAATCGGAGTCGCACAAAGATCAAAACCCCGACCAGCAAAACCCTCAAATTGTAGTTGTACCATCGTATCGAGATATATGATATTGACCGAGGAGATATATTGAGGTCAACATTCAATTCAATTTTTTTTTGAAATTTTTGGCTAATAAATACTATTTACCTAAACCCAAGTCGACCCATTGATTATGGGAAGTGAATGGTGACGTATATATGGGTTTGGAAGTATGTAGATGAGTTTGAGTAGGGTATGAATATTTATTTCCATAATCTAAATGTGTATGAGTTGGGTATGGATACTCATTTATTCGAGGGTGTTTTAATTACATTAAAAAATTAGACTTACTTGTAGGACTTCAAAAGCTTTAGGTACCAAAATGTAATACACAAAAAAATTAGCTACTAAAATGTAATGTTCCATCAATATTTTGAGGACTTATATGCCAAAAAAATAAATTTATGTTATAAATCTAAAGATCTATTAAGTTTAGGTATCGAACTGTAATTTGCATAGTTGAGGCTTAATTCCTTTTATGATGATGTATTTAAGAAGATAAATATTTTCGTTTTTATAGAAAATTGAATACTATTTATTTGAAATGTGTAGATACATAGCCTAACATTCCATGTATAATTGTTGAAAATTCTAGCTCGGGTGAGAAAGAAAAACTCTAAATAGAAACGAAATGAATACAAACTGGAACTCGCTTAAAATTTCACGCCTTCAAATCTCATAGTAGAAAATGAGGAATTTTTAATAAATAATAACCATATATTTTTATTTTCAATTGGACTTGACATTGAGCTGGAAAAGTTAGTCGTGCATGGTTAAATTACAAATTCTCTAGACCGTTAGTGAGTCATGTATGGACCCATTCATAATTGTCATTAGAATACATAAAAATAGTATACTAATTAGGGTTAGACGAATAAATCAAAGAAAGAAATAAATAAAGGGTTATGGAAGGTGGGTGAAAAATAAAATGAAGAGGAAGTAAATGATGAAAATGTTTGGTTATTTTTATACTTATAATAACTTTTAAATCATTATTTTTATCATTGCAGATTTTTTTAAACATTGTTCTATTAAAATGTCATACAAAAACTTCATACATATCAATATCTTAATGTACTCGTATTATAATTTGCTAAATATGTTGTCACGTCACTGAATAGAATGTTGTTTTAAAAAATGGCAATTATTAATTCAAATGGATAACATAAATATTTTTTTTGAATTATAAATCCCATGAATGACCAAAATGGTCGAATCTTCTCCTACAGTTGAGTGATACAACATCTTGCATGGTACAAACTAAATTTATATTTTTATGTTATGATGGATTGAATTCTTGGATTGGTGGATTGGATTCATGGACTCAAGTGAAATCTAAACATTCGACCGATATGTAAATTTTAAAAATTGTAGGTACGTAAATCTCATAAAATTTAGATGCCAAACATAAATGCTCAATGATTTGACATAAAAAGTAATTTTGAGGTATCTAAATGTAAATGTACATTATAGTGACTAAGTTGTGATTTTATTAAATTTGAGGTATGAAAATGTAAAGAGTTTGGCAACAGTAACCAAACTTCACCTTTATATATAGTAATAATTTACTAAATATATTGTCACGTCACCGAATAGAATGTTATTTTAAAAAATGGTAATTATTAATTCAAATGGATAACATATTTTTTTTTTTTTGAAGTATAAATCCCATGGATGACCAAAATGTCGAATCTTCTCCTACAGTTGAGTGATACAACATCTTGCATGGTACAAACTAAATTTACATTTTTATGTTATGATGGATTTAATTCATGGATTGGTGGATTGCATTCATGGACTCAAGTGAAATCTAAACATTCGACCGATATGTAAATTAAAAAAATTGTAGTTACGTAAATCTCATAAAATTTAGATACCAAACATAATTGCTCAATGATTTGACATAAAAAGTAATTTTGAGGTATCTAAATGTAAATGTACATTATAGTGACTAAATTGTGATTTAATTAAATTTGAGGTATGAAAATGTAAAGAGTTTGGCAACAGTAACCAAACTTCACCTTTATATATATTAATAATTTACTAATTATGTTGTCTCGTCACCGAATAGACTGTTCTTTTAAAAAATGGTAATTATTAATTCAAATGGATAACATAAATATATATATAGTTTTTTTTAAGTATAAATCCCATGGATGACCAAAATGGTCGAATCTTCTCCTACAGTTGAGTGATACAACATCTTGCATGGTACAAACTAAATTAATATTTTTATGTTATGATGGATTGAATTCATGGATTGGTGGATTGGATTCATAGAGTCAAGTGAAATCTAAACATTCGACCAATATGTAAATTTAAAAAATTGTAGGTACGTAAATCTCATAAAATTTAGATGCCAAACATAATTGCTCAATGATTTGACATAAAAAGTAATTTTGAGGTATCTAAATGTAAATGTACATTATAGTGACTAAGTTGTTATTTAATTAAATTTGAGGTATAAAAATGTAAAGAGTTTGGCAACAGTAACGAAACTTCACCTTTATATATAGTAATAATTTACTAAATATATTGTCACGTCACCGAATAGAATGTTCTTTTAAAAAATGGTAATTATTAATTCAAATGGATAACATAAATATATTTTTTTGAAGTATAAATCCCATGGATGACACAAATGGTCTAATCTTCTCCTACAGTTGAGTGATACAACATGTTGCATGGTACAAACTAAATTTATATTTTTATGTTATGATGGATTGAATTCATGGATTGGTGGATTGGATTCATGGACTCAAGTGAAATCTAAACATTCGACCGATATGTAAATTTAAAAAATTGTAGGTACGTAAATCTCATAAAATTTAGATGCCAAACATAATTGCTCAATGATTTGACATAAAAAGTAATTTTGAGGTATCTAAATGTAAATGTACATTATAGTGACTAAGTTGTGATTTAATTAAATTTGAGGTATGAAAATGTAAAGTGTTTGGCAACAGTAACCAAACTTCACCTTTATATATATTAATAATTTACTGAATATGTTGTCACGTCACCGAATAGAATGTTCTTTTAAAAAATGGTAATCATTAATTCAAATGGATAACATAATTTTTTTTTTGAAGTATAAATCCCATGGATAACCAAAATGGTCGAATCTTCTCCTACAGTTGAGTAATACAACATCTTGCATGGTACAAACTAAATTTATATTTTTATGTTATGATGGATTGAATTCATGGATTGGTGGATTGCATTCATGGACTCAAGTGAAATCTAAACATTCGACCGATATGTAAATTTAAAAAATTGTAGGTACGTAAATCTCATAAAATTTAGATACCAAACATAATTGCTCAATGATTTGACATAAAAAGTAATTTTGAGGTATCTAAATGTAAATATACATTATAGTGACTAAGTTGTGATTTAATTAAATTTGAGGTATGAAAATGTAAAGAGTTTGGCAACAGTAACCAAACTTCACCTTTATATATATTAATAATTTACTAAATATGTTGTCACGTCACCGAATAGAATGTTCTATTAAAAAATGGTAATTATAATTCAAATGGATAACATAATTTTTTTTTTGAAGTATAAATCCCATGGATGACCAAAATGGTCGAATATTCTCCTACATTTGAGTGATACAACATCTTGCATGGTACAAACTAAATTTATATTTTTATGTTATGATGGATTGAATTCATGGATTGGTGGATTGCATTCATGGACTCAAGTGAAATCTAAACATTCGACCGATATGTAAATTTAAAAAATTGTAGGTACGTAAATCTCATAAAATTTAGATGCCAAACATAATTGCTCAATTATTTGACATAAAAAGTAATTTTGAGGTATCTAAATGTAAATATACATTATAGTGATTAAGTTGTGATTTAATTAAATTTGAGGTATGAAAATGTAAAGAGTTTGACAACAGTAACCAAACTTCACCTTTATATATATTAAAGTTTCTTTAGATATCATCTCATAAATCGCAGAAACACTTAGATACTGTTCAAAGTTTAATATCAGTTGATCATCGTTTATTGATGTTCGTCTTGTGGGTCTTGATATACATTGTTGGTGTATACAAAGAATGACCACTTGTGTTTGCTAATTTGCCTCCTCAAGTGACTCCAAAAATGTCTAGGAAATTTTGAACAACCTGCTGAGAGATTATTTAAATGCAGAACAATATGTTGATGGATTCTAAATCAATTCAATAATTCCTCATATTGTAGCTTCTAAGTTCAAAGTTGGATTGACCGAAATCCAAATATTGGTTCCGGTTGAAATACTAAATTCCAGAGTTGGATGAAGCTAGGTGTTTAAATTTCGTTTAGTGGGAGCACATAATAGTTGTATTGTTTAGATGGAGGCAATTTTGAAATAAAATAGATGGAATTCTGTCCAAATTTCCCCGGAAATGTCAAAATCACCCTACAAAATTTCCCAAATACCACACTACTAATTTTTTTCCCAATGTACCCAAGTTATGGAAAAAAAAATATCGGTATCTCTAACATTTTAGTCAAGTAATCATTGTAGTACGAAGCGTTGCACTAAAAATGTTTTAGCTAATGCGATAAAAATACTTAAACGCTACAAAACATCATTTTACTTAGAAAATTGAAAGCACCAACACCTTATCACTAAAACGCGCTATCAGACAAATCAATAAGGGTATATCACATTGGCGAGCAACTATTAGTTCATTTCATTGAATGCAAATCATTGTCCCGCTTAACGATTTTACGACTCGTGATGTTGACCACTCGAATGGGAAGCGAATTGTGCGCATGCTCTAATTTGTCCATTCAATTGAATGCGTATAGCTGCCCAGCCGAACCATTTGTACCACATGACGAAGATCACTCCCTCTGAAAGCGTTTTCGCCAAATAGTTATCACGTTCAACACCCCCACCCCCCCCCCCCCCCCCCACACACACACACAAAACACAGAACTCTGCACAACTCATGCCACCACTTTCTTCTACCTATCTCTTCCACTAGTCAAGGTTTTCTTAGTATGCTATGTGGTTGTTGCTAAGTACGATCTTCCACACCATAAAAGTCTTTCTTGAACATGTGATGCGACCCTCTCCCTCCTTAAAAATGGACATAATTTTTTTAATAAAGGTATACCTAGTCTTTCGACCTTCGGGTTATTGCAACTAAGCTACTAAGTGGTGGTGATAGTAGTAGTCATGCTTTGCCGATGATAGTGGTCGAAGGGAGTTATGGTGACGACGAGAAGATTGACGAGTTTCATCATGATGGTAGGGATGAAATTTAACAGAAGTTGACGATTAATGGCCAACCATAAAATTTTTGTTTAAAGTTGGTGACTAGTAAAATACAATATTTTTTGAGTGACAAACATGAAAGAAATTAATAAATTTAGTGACAAAAAAATTACAATTAGTCCCAAATCCAAATATTAGCCGGAACCTTATACTTTTTTTTTGGCTTAATTGCAAGTTTGGTCACTCGAATTGCTATAAAATTTCACGTTTGCCACTCAAATTAATTTATTCCATTTATAGTCACTCGAATTAGTTGAACAGTTCAAGTTCGGTCACTCTCTGTTAACCTCCGTTAACTTTGACTGACGTGGCGGTCAACTCTGACAGTTGACCGTTAAATGTGTGACGTGGCAAATAAAAAATAAAAAATAAATTTTTAGAAATTACACATCATTATAAAGAGTTTTTACCCAAATTCCACCTCCTTTCTCTGTCCATTGCTCCCACCATTCTCTCGACTTCTTCCTTCCTCCTCCTCTCCACTCTCCCCAGCCGCCACCTCCGTCCGCCGCCATGCCTATCCGCAACTTGCTTCCAATCCGCCACCACACACGCCGCCCCTCCTCTCTCCACAATTCGCAGGTTGTAGTAGAGGAAAGATCCGGCGTAGAGGACGTAGGTGCTGCAGCCGGCGGCGAGGGTGAGGCGCGGGCCGAGGTTGTTGTAGAATCCGCCGCCGAAGACGGCGAAGGTGGTGTAGAGCGCGTTGTTGGCGGCGGTGGGGTCGACCTGGCCGCCGGCGCCCATGCCGGAGAGGGCGTTGAACATCCCCGGGCAGCAGAAGCAGACCAGTCCGATGAGGACCACTTGGACCAGAGGCGAGTTGTAGCGTAGCTTGGATTTCGTCGTTGTCGTCGTCGTCGTTGCGACTCCGCCGGATTCTTGGTCGCCGCCGGATCCCATCGGTGGCAGTTTTTGCGGATCTGGGTAGAAAACTGATAGGGATTAGATTGGGAAGGGAATCAGGGGGAAACAGAGGGCTTCTTGGTAAATTGAGAAAATGGGGGAAAGGGATAATCTACGAATTGAATTCGATGGGGGAGAAATGGTGGTTGGGGAGATTCCAGTTATATAGAGAGAGGGGTTCCATGGCGGCAGAGAAGAGTGAAGCAGAGGATTCCATTGACGTTATTTCCAATCCAGGGAAGAAGATGCAGTTTGATAATGAATCCGATTATCAATGGCGGAATCCGACAAATTTTCTTTTATAATGATGTGTAATTTCTATGTATTTAATTTTTATTTTTTAATTATTTTTTATTTGACACGTCACACATTTAACGGTCAACTGTCACAGTTGACCGCCACGTCAGTCAAAGTTAACGGAGGTTAACGGAGAGTGACCGAACTTGAACTGTTCAACTAGGGGTGGGCATCGGTACGGTTCGGACCGCACCGCACCGCATTTTTATAAACCGCACCGAACCGCATTTATGTAAACCGCACCGCATCTTTGACCGTGAAGTTATCGTTGCGGTCAAACCAAACCACATAAATTAACGGTTTGGTATGGTTTAGACCGCACCGCATTTTGACCGCAAATGACAAGAAAAGAAGGAAGCTTGGAAATAACAAAAAAAAATGGCAAGGATTCCCGCTCCGTTTCTGTGTACTGATGCAAACCTGACAAATTTATTCAATTGGGAACACAGAAACACCAAGTACATACTCGATCATCATGCCACCAAAAGTCCAAAATAGAGCTGTGAAGGCAAGAGAAGTAGAAGATGGCAGCACAAGAAGAACCATGACTGCTCAACAACTATTGAATGCTCCATTTTCTTAGTTATCTGTTGTAGTTTTGAAATAATAGCAAACAAAAAAAAATGGCAGGGTTCCTCTCCACATTGCTCTGTTTCCGGCCATCAAAACAGAGCATATGCTCGGATTTCCCCATGCCTTGCATCTGATGCTTTCTTCTTGCGGAACTCTGTTTCTTGGCTAGATCCCCTACACATGAACCCATTGAATATACTGTAAGATGGGTGGGGGAAACATTAAACCATAATGCTTGAGATATATGTCCCTCCAAGAATGACAGGATTCAGATACCCTGTTGCAAACTCAATTTATGCCACAAATTGCTAACTTCCAGAGTACAAATTACTTCCATGGTCCAACCAACAGGTCAATCAAAGGAATAAACTCAATCATAAACATGTTTGATCGTGTCCAAATTAAACCCATGTACGGGTACCACTTAGCCTCACCCAAGAGTCATGTATATTAACTCAAGGTCTGTACTCTGTACTGTCAGAAAAGTCCAGACAACCCCCACCAAAGCAAAAAAAGCAAACAAACTACGATGGAACACCATTACAGTAGGGTCTTAGACATGATTGGAATTAAAAACAAGGTCTTAGACATGAAAATGAGATTGGCAGCAGGGCAATGAAAGTCATATTATCCCTGTTGAGTGCTTCCTTCTGGGAGGCCAACTGTCAGTACTAGCATGCCTGCATTACCCTTAGCTAACCAGCATACATGTCTTAAACCAATCGAGAGTAGTAGGCTAGCTGGCTAGTTATCAAATGTTAACAGCAACAAATGTCATACCTCTAAATAGATGGTATTTAGGCCATACACAGAGAGAGAGAAGGGGCAGCTCAGAAATTGCACTAATGATCAGGTTGAAATGTTACCTTATATGTTTGTGCTTGCCTCTACATTAGGACTCATACGAGGAGTATGGATACGAGGAAGTGGAACATCAGATATACCAATAGCCTTCATAATCATGCTCAACTCTGAAATTCATAAGAAGACAGTTTAATCACTACATAAAACGTGCATGGTACATAAACAATAGCTTTTTTTAGGTAACTCACCTTCATCGATATTAAATCATCGGCCATACCACAGATATTAAGTATCGATATTAAAACATCAGATACTTAATCTTGACACCCCTGAATTGTACCTGAAACCAAAAGAACTAATTCCGACCAAACCCAACTCGAAGAACCAGTATATGCAATTAGCTCTAAAATGGTGTCCATATAAAGTAGTGAATAAACATGCAAAAGGATTTATCTAATCACAGTGATCACTCAGCTGAACTATGCATTATAAATCATCACCTGACCCCATTAATCAAATCCATGAAAAAACAACAAATCTTGTAAAAAAACAAACAGAAGAAACATAGCCTCAGAAGGAAGGCAGTAGTGGTTTGTTATGTAATCAAACTATTCGTCATACAGACACAATATCACCAGTTCTCATCACAGGCAAAAAAACCGAAAATATTGAAAACCCAGATGGAAAGAACAGATCTTGAAATCGAATTGAAATGGCCTCATAGAGAAGATTAGGCGTATCAACATGGATAAAATTCAGACATATGCTTGTCAATTTTCGATATTAAATCATCGGCCATACCACATCGCCAGAAAAAGAATAAAACTTGGATCTGGGTGTTTTGAAAGAAAGAAAGTAATTGAAGGGGACTCAGAATATGGGTGGTGATATATCAGAATGGTCGTCAAGGCCTTTTACAGCCATTACGAACAAAATCAATGAATGAATGAATGAATCATTCTGATAACAGTATCTTCTACTATAGTAAAGGAACTCACCTCACTAACACTAAGCACATTGTTGCTGGGTATCTGTGCTCGAGCTCGTTTTCCCTGTGATCGTTTAGATTTCATCTTTCCAATAACAATATCTTCTGTTTCCCTATTGCTTGATATCGAATTCACAGATTCATTACAGCCCTACAAGCATATGAAAGAAGACAGTTAGAACATTGTGATAGGTAAATAAATCATTCACTGGGTTTTGTTCCCTGTTCTCTAAATCTAATAGCTATCTTCCACCATGAAAAGAGAAAAGGGTAACAAACAGAAAATACCAAACTAAGAACTGTGCACTTGTTAACGTGGACAAAGAAACCAACACAAATAAATTCTGTTCAAAGTTCAAACCAAGAGGAAAAAGAAGGAGAAGAAAACAAATAATGGGATGGATGAAAAACCAATCAACCGACATTTCTGTGCATTGTCGCAATTAATTACAGTGGTTTTCAACCCTTGTTCAACCCTTATCAAATTTCCCAATTCCAATTTTGTAGATTGGTAAATAGTACAAATTTGAACAGAATCCCAACTCGATCTCTGTAGTTTTCTGAAGTAGGAAGCCCTGCCAGTGCTTTGAGATAATACTTGTCCACAACATTATCATTCAGGTTGCTAGAAACAATGGCATCCAAATTCCAAAGAGTATTGAATGCTTGAGCATTTCTTCATTTAACCCAGCTGGCCTAAATTTCTCTGCTCTCAGAGCAACATAGGAACTCAGATGCTCGAAATGGAAAACGAAGAAATGCAACACATACATGAAAGCGGAGATAATAACTGGCAGAATAGATCGAGTGTAGAGATAGATTTAGGGATGGAAGGAGCTTTGCTTCAACTTTGGAATTGAGGCATTGTCGCAATTAATTACAGTGGTTTTCAACTTTCCTCTTCCGATTTCGGGTACGGTAACAACAACCCTAGATCCATACCTAACAAATCTAATCAACCCACCCAGCATACTAGAAAACCCACGGAGGGCAAAGGGATAAGTAGGTCGGTCGCCGCCTTGGCGGAGGTCCGACGGGAAGACATGCGGTTGATTCGACTTTCGAGATTGAATCCAAAAGAAACCGATCAAGGATATGAAGAGGGAGGGAGAGAGTACCAGAACGACGGTGTGAGCTGGGATGCGGAGGCCGGCGGAGGTGCGAATCTGGATTTTAGGTCAGGGGAAGCGTCGTCGGCGTCGATCTATGAAGCTCGGGACGTCTCTTGGTGTTGTGCAACGTCGAGAGGAACAGAAGAATCGTTAGGTATGGATGAGGAAGAAGAATCGCCGCCGGGTAGCGAGGGAATGGTGCGGATCTGGTGGTGGCGGGGACTGGATGAGGAAGAAGAATCGCCGCCGGGGGGATAGCGGTGTGCGGTGAGGAAGAAGAATCTCTGCAAAGCTACTCCTGCGTTGGTGGTGGGCGACCTTCAGTAAGAATTAGCGGTTTGCGGTTTTGAACCGTAATCGTGTGGTTCGGTCAATCCAAACCGCGAACCACTAACAATTAAATGGTTAGTCCGCAAACGAAACCGATAGTTAACGGTACGGTTTGGATTGACCGTTGGAGCGGTTTGGAGTGGTTTGGTCAAACCAATGCCCACCCCTATGTTCAACTAATTCGAGTGACTATAAATGGAATAAATTAATTTGAGTGGCAAACGTGAAATTTTATAGCAATTCGAGTGACCAAACTTGCAATTAAGCCCTTTTTTTTATCTCCTTTTTGGTATCACCCCGGCATGTTGGAGAAGCGCTAGTCCCTTGTGATTGACAAGCCTGCCAGTAGCCAGGATACTCTTTAAGTGGTTCCACATGTACGACGACGTTCCATATCACCACCGACAATAAGAATTACTTATTAATTAAGAAATTAAATAATCTACTAAATGCGCAAAACTGTTCTCTTTTTCCATGTAAAATGCTTGCGCAATTATATTTAGCTTCATTATGAAAACAGTAATTAGTAATCAACTTCAGTTAATGATAACAAAGGAGGAGACGAGAGAAAGAGAATAGAACGCGTCTCCTATTTTCTCCTCTCATTTATCAGAAGCTTGAAAGCAGCAGCTACATCCTGCTATTACTAGTAGTTGCTACTTGCTACTCACACTCTGTTACTAGTATCCAAATTGAGAGACGCCCAAAAAGCCAAAGCAAGAAGTCAGACAGCAAGAAACCCACAATTCCCCTCCGGCTCTCACTCAGATCTGAGATCTAAATCTATATTCCCACTCACTGGTCAGCCATTGATTTCTGGTTCTCCAATCCCACTTTTCCCATCTCCTTCTTCTTCTTCGTTTCAATGACCCCAGCCTGATCTCTTTCTTAACTATTTGTTCTGTGCTTCGTAAAGGGCTGTTGATTAGAGCTGCTTCGCTTCTTGATTGATTGCTTCATCGTCCATCATCAATCATGTCGAGGAGGCAAGTAGGCTCCGGCAGGCGATTCGTCGACTCCGGCAACTTCCCCTTCGCTTCCGCTCTCCATCACAAGTCCCGCTCTTCTCCTTTACTCTCCATCGGTCTAGTCGTCTTGGTGCCTACTTCCTCTCTCCGTTTTCATTATCAGCTTATTCATGTTCCCTTTTGCTCAATCTTCTCTTAATTAATCCCCCACTTTTTTTGTGGTTCCAAATTCACCAGGGTGCTTTGCTTCTCATCGCCTATGCTTATGGCGGTCCAGGTCTGTCTTCCTTTCCCCCTTCTTATTGCTGCATTGAATCCAAATTGTACATGGCTTGATTCTGATTGATGTCGATTTGCAATTTACAGGTTTGTTCAGGGGTAACAAGGATGTCAGTAGGATTGAAGGTGAACATTTCTGATAATTTTCTCTCAAGTCTTTGCTTTACTTGTTTGTTATTCCCACTCCTAGATCTTTGAATTGTTAGGCATGTTGTTGGTGAGTTAGAAGTGGATAAATGGATTAGGATCTGGATCCTTTTGACTAGCGTAGATCCCAGTTGGACTCTCTTTGACTTCAGCCCTTGTGAGCCCTGTTGGTGTCAATTCAAGCCGTCGCAGAGCAATGCACATTAAAATTGTTTCCTTTCCTGTATGGAGTGATCCTAGTTGATTTTGTTTCTGGGTAGAAGTTTCAGCTTCTACCATATACATTACTTTGGGGTCATTGGTGAATGTGGCTTTTCCTAAAGAAATGATATTGCCATCCTACAGAATTATGTGGATTTGGAATTCGCATATGGGAACGCCTAGAGAATCTGTTGCCCTTTGTGATGCTTAAAAGCTCGTACTGATTTCAAATATTATACTTTACAGGCGACTATACGTGTACAGCAGAAGTCGTGAGAGCTATACCATTCCTGAAGAAAGCATATGGAGACAACATGCGTAAAATTTTGCATGTAGGTCCTGATACTTGTGCTGTTGTTTCCACATTGTTGAAAGAAGAAGAAACTGAAGCTTGGGGGTTGGAGCCATACGACATCGAGGATGCAGATGCAACCTGCAAAAATCTTGTTCGGAGGGGACTTGCTCGTGTTGCTGATATCAAATTCCCTCTACCCTACAGGGCAAAGTCATTCTCACTCGTTATTGTGTCGGATGCTCTTGATTACCTTTCACCAAAGTACCTGAACAGGACTCTTCCTGAACTGGCTAGGGTTGCTTCAGATGGTCTCGTTATCTTTACAGGTATTCCATGCAAACTCCATAAGAAAAAACGTAGTACGGAAATCTTGTGATTTGAAGATCAGTTGTGGTGAGGCAACCATCTTTCTCGTGTGTCTATTGTGTTGGGCCTTTCACACGAACAATTTATTTTCCAAACCGTAGTCGATGTTTACAGTTGTTGTGAGGAAGCTATCATTCTCTTACCTTGATGCGTTTCCCTTTTAGGTTATCCTGGCCAACAGAGAGCTAAAGTTGCAGAACTGTCCAAATTTGGACGGCCGGTGAGTGTATTATAGGATACCTTTGGCTTCTCATCTAGGCTTTTTTGCAGTATTTGGCATGCTGTTGGTTATCAAGTCTTATTCACAAGTTAGCTATGTCGACTCTTGGAGAGGGAGACCAATGACTGATTATGATGTTTGAATTTTCAGCCCAAAATGAGGAGCTCCTCTTGGTGGATTCGCTATTTTGTTCAAACAAGTTTAGAAGAAAATGAAGTTGCTCAAAAGAAGTTTGATCAGGCAGCACTGAAGAGGTCGTACAAGCCAAACTGTCAAGTATTCCACCTCAACCCATACCATTAAACGTCAAGGGACACGATGAGAACCAGCCTATAGGCCACTGTTATCTCAGTTTTCGGTTCCCTCGCACTTGAGCTCAAAGATATCTATTACTCCCACACGCACACAAGCCAAGCCCATTCTCTTACCTTGTTAGCTAAATGCCTAAATCACATGAAAAAAAAAAAAAATGTTCTTACATTATGTTGTATCATTTTTAACATTCAAACAATCAATACCTTATTAATCCATGTCAAGTTTGTTGATTGATAGCAGTCGACTTCTCCGTTTTGGATTCAGCTTCCCCAACGAGGTGGATATATTGTTTGATTGACTAATAGTGAAAGAAATCGTGTTCTAGCCTCTTAGGGGTCGTTTGGAAGTTGCGATTGTTAAATAGATGTATTGTTGAGAATGTATGTATGATATTATACATGTATTGTCGAATTTGATGCATTGTAGAATACAATGTTTGGTATGTGTGATTGTGTATGTCGCATCAGCTAAAAGCTGAGACAAAACAATTTCAACTCAACTATCTCAACAATAACAACTAAAAGTTGAGATATAACAATCACTCAAAATGAGTGATAGTTTCTGTCACATCATAGAAACAATCCATGTATTGTTTCTGCTAAAAAAAGAAAAAAACGATGCATTGTAAACAATACATGCATAATGACAATCTCAACAAAACAATCGCAACTTCCAAACGACCCCTTAGTGTAAGAAACCTTGTTCTAGGGTGTCTTCGAGGATTGAGAATAGAATTTGAGATTGTAACAAAATAATAGATAGGAATGATTTAGGTAGGGTTGGTATTCGGTAAACCGGTATTTGGTATAACCGGGTACCGAACCGGTTACCATCGGTATTCGGCTGCAATATTTGACCAACCGGTATACCAAATACCGGCCAGTAATTAACCGACGGTAAATCGGTATTATCGAATACCGAATCACATAAAAAAAAACGACAGAGTAGCGGATTGGGGCTAACTGCAAACCCTAAATGAAATAGAGTCTCCCCTCTCGGTTTGCCGCTCCACGCCTTGTCTCCTCTGATTCTCTTCTCTCCATCCCGAAAGACGAATTGGTGATTAATAAAACTTGCTATACGATAGCAATATAATATAGTAATAATTAATAAACGAACAAAATTATTTTGATCATTTAATTAAACAACATTCAGAAAAATAAAAAGAATAAAAAGCCCAAATCAGCCCACCCGATATCGGTATTAAATCGGTTTGCCGGCTCGCTAAATGTCCTCTCAATGCATTACCCGGTATTCGGTATATGGGTATTAATATCGGATACCAACTATTTGGTATTCGGTATACCGGTTAACATTCGGTATCGATATTCGGTGGGTACACTGTCTGTTTCCGGTATCCGAATACCGGGTAATCGATATCCGGTATACCGGATACCGACCGACTACCAGCCCTAGATTTAGAGATTGAGAATAAAATTTGAGATTAAAGGAGGGGATTTAGATTAGGATTTGGGGAAGAACAGAGGAAGAACGAATTAGCTAAAGCCTTAGGGGAAGAGAGGAACGAGATTGAGAGTGAAGATAGTAAGGTATTGAGAGAGAAGAGAGTAGGGTTTGGATGATAATTTCTTTTATTAACCTTTGCTTAATTGTGAATGAATGCTCAAATACATATTTATTGGGAAAGACTGAAAAACCCAATAAAACCCAAAACTATTTGACCACACTTAGCGGTCAATCCCTTTGTAATTATCACTAATCCTAACTCTAATAATAATATTAATAGGATAATGACAAAAGTGCGTTTCTAACAATCCACCCCCTTGAGACCAACCTTACCTTCAAGGTTGTCCGACTTGACCCACTTCCCTGCTCTTTTCGTGCCACCCACACATCGGCAACACTGCTTCCTGCATTTTCTTTTCTTCCAGGTACTTGAATCGACCTTCTGCCCATGATTTCCATGAACTTTTCAACTGCTGCTAATGCCACATCAGAGGGTCCAATCTTCACTTTCTTTGAAAAATTCGAACTTCAATAACTCCTCTTCCATCGTTATCATATCATAGTAGCTTAAGGAATCAAAATGTACTTTTTGTACAAGAAGTCATCCTAAAATATAAACTCTTTAAGAACCTCAAACTCCATGTCGGTGGCCCATGCAGGTCTGTCCCGGACAAGACGCCGAAACTCGTAGCTAGAGTTAATCTTCCTTGTAGCTAGCCAATAATAGGGTTGGGAAAATATACCAGACAGTTTGAAAAAAAATGGTCCAATCTGGACCACACAATTTGGTATGGACCATAGATCGTTAAGTATGGTTTGGGCCATGGTCTGCGTTATATGATGTTTTGATCTCTTGGTATGGTCTGGTATAGACCATGTTTACCGGACCAAACCGTGGACCCAGTCGATTTCTCAATTAGTGTTAGCAGTCCACTCGACCACTTTCCCAACTCCCACACCGATACCCAAGTCTCAATCATAATTTTGAGAAACTCGGTCCTCCTTCATTCATATTCACATTTCACTAGAGAGCAAGGACAATTGTGTTTCTATATGACATTATGTTAATGTTTATGACGTTATAGTTCAAGTCGAGATGCTTTGACTTTGTATCTTTGCTATTTACTAAGATTTGTGGTGTCAAAATTATTCATGCATGTTGGAATTTATGCTTTGAGGGGAAAAAAGTGTTGGCTATTGGTTCAATTTTTTGTGTGGTTGACTAATCAAATTGTTCATTTTTCGTTCAACATGGTTACTGGACCATACTGCACAGGCATGGTCTGGTCTGAATCGTATAGTCTGTGGTCTATGCTCCAACTTCTTGCCCTGGATCATAGACCGTATATATGGTCTAGTTTGGACCAGAAATCACCGTTTCCGAACCCTACCCATTAATATGCTTAGTTGAATCTTCAATTGTTTTTGGGCCATGCTCTCTTGAGAGCCCACCAATTAAGCCTTTAAACCCATTTTCCTTTTCCTCCAAGCTCACCTTCTTCAAAAGATAGCTCATGTTGGGCACAATCCCTCCATGACGGCGCCACCCAATTTCCTCAAGTCTCGGCCCAAAACGATATATGAGAGATCCAATTAGAGGGCTCGTTTGAAGACCAAATCGTTGCTGCTGTTGCGGCCCATTTTCCCATTGAAACCCATCAGTCTCTTTCTTTCTCGGCACATGACGGGTGTCTCGCTCAGCACTAATCGATCGACCTTGGTTTAGTCTCGCAAAGCCCTCATCACATACCAACCCGCTCTGATGGTCTTCCTGGCTCAAAGCAAGCCCACTCCGTAGATCTCCTCAGCCCAACCAGGCTGGTCTCTCTTCTCTTTCTAGCCTGTGAGTCAAGGCTTCCACCCCACTTGGCTCATCAAGATATGCAAACCAATTATCAATATCATATGACCCAACTTACTCAGCCCAACGAGGCCCCGTTGCTGTTGCTGCTGTGATGTGCGGCCCCACGCTGGTGACCTGATGTTCGCGAGAAGAGGAGACGCCGCCGACCTCCTCCTTCATCTCAATCGACGCCTCCTCCTTCTTGGTATCATTCTCCAAACTTGACCTACTAGGATGTCAACTACGAGGGACCCCCATCACGTTTGACACCAGTTACGTCTTTGACACGCTAAAACACAACACCTAACAATGGCCAAGTGTAACCAATGAAAGGGACTGCAGTATAGTGGCACAAGTAATAAATATCGAATTCACGGGTCTCTAGAGTTACTATTACTTAGCTTCAGTTCATTATCTAGCAAACTAGATTAAGGATTGATTTATAAACTACTCTACTGACTACTCTACTAATTATAAGTTGTGAACTCACTTAGATATGATTCCCCCTACCTCCTCAATTAGGTCCAAGTTGCAATTACCTTTGGTTGATCTACTGTTGATTAAACTGCGGAAGATCCGACAGTAGCTTGGAATCTCTTAAGCTGACCAAACCCTCTCAGTCCAACTACCCGGCAGGCGACTAACCTTCACCGGGATAGAAAGCTGAGGCTATGAACACATAACTCCACTACCGGAATTGGATTCCAGTACAAAGTAGTAGATTGACTAACTCTCGTATAACCAATTCACCACCATCAATCAATGAAGCTCTCTTAACCTAATCAGATTCTATCTATCATAGGTTAAAGCAGAAATCAAGAGAATTTGATCAAGATTCAATTGACTCAATAAATCATGCCTCAATCGATTATAATCAAACAATATAGCATCCAAAACTTCATACAAGAAAGATCCTAACACATATAACTAGGGTTCCTCAAAACCTAAGTGAAGGGAAGTTACTCCATAGAGAAGAGAGAGACTGCAGAAATCTGATCTAGATCTTCAATCTCCATCTCCAAGCTTGATTCCCAAGCTCCAAAGGCGAAGAAATCCTCCAAAATAGCTCCAAGAATGTTCCCAAGTCGCTCTCTCTCTCTAGGGTTCGTCCCTTGGGTGTTTGGGAACCAAAAACCCAGCTCTCCCCTTTCCTTTGGCTGAAAATCGAGTTTTAAACAGAAATTCCCGATCACGCGGCCAGGCCACACGGCCGTGTGGAGTTCCAGGATGCCCGTGTGGCTTGCTCAGCCTCTGTTTAATGCTTCGTTTCTCCCTCGTCCGGACTCCAAATCAGTCCCCGTTTGATCCCAGACGCTCGTACTCTCGTCCTCTTTCTTTTCATGACAAGCTTGCATGATTATTTGTCCATAAAGTGAGGTAGAAATCCATTATTATTCAGGTCATGCCCGAGTTTCTTCTCCCGAATCGTCAATTGATCTCTGATTGATTTGAAACTTGCGCCTATGCTTCACTTTATGTGCTAGGACCTGAAATGTGACAAAGGAACACAACCTAGCACAAAATAGGACAAAGACGCAATAATTCAAGCTCAAACAATCAAGAAACAAAGGGGAAAACATGTGCAAATACCGAGTCATCAAATCCCCCCACACTTAACTGTTTGCTTGTCCCCAAGCAAACCTAACTCAAACCAATACAGCTCTCCAGACCTCTATAGCAACAAACAACCCCGATCGTCGGTAGATGATTTCCTAGATCATATAGCAGCTTACGAGGTCAACTGGTCTTCTAAGACGTCCCCTATCTCTCTCAATGCGAGTACTAGACTCAAGCCAGGAACATGAGAAGAAGTAGAAGTAAGACAGTCAGTTCATGGACAAAGGGACTCACACCATTCAAAACCAAGGACTCGTTGTACCGGGGTGCTCTTTCACTTCATTTCACCGTTGGAACCCCTTTTTGCACTTTCATTTACATTTCTTTTTCTCTTTTTTTCTTCATTCACTTGGCGGGGGTTCCAACTGCAGTCTTTTGCACGGTCGACCCTTATTAGTCGAGCAAGAGCAATTTTTTTTTACATCTAGCGCTCGCCAGAGTACTTCTTTTAACTCTTTTTCCTCAACTCGTGTGGAGGGTCAATGAAATCAAGGGGGGTCGGAAGCTCTATCCGTGCCC